CGCCACCTCCGCCGCCGCCCGGCCGGCAGCACAGCCGTTTCGCGGGAGGAGGCTGCTGTCCGCGCTCCGCCATGACCGCGCCGCTTCTAACCCGACAGCGGAAGTGCCGGGACCCTATAAACGGCACAAGGAAGCGCGACACGCACACGCTGTCGCGACGCCACGCTGCCATTTAGGGCCCGCCGCTCCTTGTATGGGCACAAGAGGTGGTGCCTCCATCGTGACGTCAGGGCTGAGGCGGGGCACTGATAGGGGGACCTAGGGCGAGGGGCTGGGCCTATGCAAATCGCTAGGCTCAAACATAAATAGAGCACTCGGCCGACACCGGGGTAGCGGGGGTGGCGGGGTTGGGTGCACGCTGGGCTGTGGGAATGTCAGGCTGCTGTGATGCGGGGGGCGGGGCTCAGGTGGGGTTCCCGCGGGAGGGGGCGGGTCTCCAGACTTGGCCCCAGGTGGGTGGGTCTCTGCGCGCCCTGCTAGTAACTTCCCCTTAACAATTCCCTAGCTCCTTTTGATGTCTGGCAAGTGAGGACGCGCCTCGTGGGTCGCAGCGGAGAGGAAAGGGGAAATGGAGGCTGAACCCCGGGTGGGGTCCGGGCTAAGTGGGGGGCGGGGCCTGAGGCAGAGGCCCCACCCCCCCGTCAGAGCCTGCCCGCCGGGGGAAAAGCCTCTGGGCGGAGGAGGCGCTTTCAAAACAAAGAAATGCGGCGTGGAGCCCAGGGGACGGGGGTGGAGAGGAAGGCGGAGGAGGTGCGGCTGCTGCAGCCCGGCTACCCGCTTCCCCTCCAGCTAGCCCGGGGGAACTCCCCCCACCCCCAGCCGGGGCTGCGGCGGCGCCGGGGAAGAGGGAGGAGGCTGCGCTCGGCGGCTGTTTTCCAGTTCACTTTTGCAGACTCCGGTAGGGAAAGAGAGCGCCCGCTCCGCTGCCCCGCCTCGCTGCACCGCACGCAGCTCCGAGCCCCACGTCCGCTCTGTCCCTGTGGCTGGGCTGGGGGGCGAGCCAGCCAAAGTGTCCGAAAACGCGCAGAGCGCTCGGAACCTACCCCGCAGCTGGGAGACCGGCGTTCCGAGCGGGCCGCAGCCGCCCCGCCCTTGCGCTCCCTCTTCCCAGCCTGAAGCTGGGGAACTTGAACCGGCTCTCGTCGCCCCCGCGGCCTGGCCGCCAAGACACCGCTCCGGTCCCAGGGTGCTCCGCACTCCGGTTGGAGGGTACACCCGGGCAGTGGATTTAGCAAACACACCTTTGTGAGAACACATACCAGGGGAGCGCCCGCACAGCCCAGCCGGCTGCAGACAGCGCGCCCGGGACGCTCGGCGGCGGAGGGCGGCTGCGCACTCAGTGGGCACTTAGACCTGCGTGGCGGCTCGGCACCCGGTGCCCGGCTTCGGGGAGCCAGCGTGCTCGGGATGCGCGCCGCGCTCTCTGCGGTCCTGGCGGCGCCCGAACGGCCCGTTCTCCCCGGGATAGGCAGCTTGGGGAACAGGCGATCGAGAGCGACTGAAGAGCGCAGCTTGCTGGTGCGAGTGAGCCGGGGAAGGAGAAGCGAGTACCGGGCTGAACCGGGAACCCTGCGGACATTGTTCTTCGCACTCGGCAGAGCTCGGTCAAATCTGGGTCCAAGCCACGGACCTACTTAGCACGTTAGAGACATCTTTACTCTTTGCTCACCTATTTTTACTGAAAACCGTGTTACTGATACTATCGCTCTTGTAGAAGACGAACCGCGTCTCCTTTGGCACTTTCTCATCTTCTAAGGTTATTGGCTGACACCTGCCTGTCTCGTTGCCTGAATTTAAAGGAATAGAGCGCCTCCGAGTTTTAAAGAAAATCGCCCACTCAGGGCCAAGGCCCTGGAGACCTCGAGCTCCAGCTCTTGGCTCTTCCCCTTTTAGGCCTTACCAAGCCTCAGGCTGCAGGTCCCAGAGGGACGGGACGCTGGCAGACTTTCCACAGCAGCCTTACTTGTTAGGAAAATTTTGGTGACATGTTTTTGTATATCCCTCTGGTATTTTTCTGGGCACCTCCTCAGTGCTTAGGAAAAGGCCTGGGCAGGAAACTGGAAGAATATCTTTATGGCACATGACAGAAGGAAGGCTTTTTCTTCCAGTTGTACCATTTCTGGACCTCTTAAAAATAATTTTTTAATTTTTAAAAAAATATACGTGATAGGAGTGCAAAGTCGAAAAGTAAAATACAATTTGGGCTCTATTCTGTCCTCTAATGCGTCATGATAGGACTTAGGCTTGTATACTCTTGTGTAGATTTCTAAGCATTTTCATATATATACACATGGACTCACTGAACTGGAAAGTTAAAGATGACAAAACTGGTGCCCCCAGACAGGGTGACTCATTCAGGGTCATAGGAAGTGTTAGTGGAAGAAATTAATTCATACTGAACAGGAAAATAGACATCTTTGGAAATGCCTAACGTTTAGAGACCTCGATTTTGTAATGAACCAAAGAGACTGGATTTAAGTAAGATACTGTCCGACAATGGAGGGATTTAGTTTAACTCTAATTTAAAGACAAATCAAGAGCCACCAGCTCAGCCTGACCCAATTTTCCCCCTCTGTAGTCTCTTCCACTAAGACCACTCTCTCCCTCTTAAACTGTACTCCTCCCTCTAGTTTCCCTGACACTCCTATCTCTCTAACATCTCCAACCTTTCTCTGTCTTGTTTTGGGGTTTCTCTTCCTCCAAACTGTTCACCCTGCGCTACAACCTATCAGAGCCCTCTTCTCAATTTTTGGTGATCCTCCCCTGGGAGAGTTTCCCCCATTTTCAACTCCCAACCACGGTCTCTGCTTCAGCTCACTTATTTCTCCCTTTTCTGTTGCCATGAGGGTGCTCATGGCCACCTCAAACCCAAAGTACCACCTTTCCCTGGAAACCAGGTTCTCTTCCTTCCCTTAGACTGTTAGTACTCTTGCCACCTATTTATAGGCACGCAAGCTTTATTCCTCTTTGCCTTTGCCTGCAACTCCCACATAGGTTTATTCGCTGTGTCGTCCGTCCCAGCCCCTCTCACTGCTCTGGTATTCCTCGCCTCACTCTGCAGAGCCTCCTCACTAGCATGTCTGTATAACCCTTCCTCCTTCATACCCTCCTCCACCCAGCTGCTGTGCTTCCTAAAGTGGGATGGTGTCACCCTTTTGCTCAAGTGCCTTTAAATGGCTCCCTGCTGCCTACTGGAAAATGTCCAAACTCAAATGCAATCTTGACCAAACCCAAAATTCTAGCCTCATCTCTCACTAAAACCCAACAGAACTCCCAGTTCCCCAACAGGAATTTTATTAGTCCCAACTGGACTTCTCCCAGTACCCCAGAAGTCATTCCCATTTCCCCACTGCACATTTGCTCAAGATATTCCTGCTGCCTGTAATGTCTCTTCCCTCACAACTTGTCAAATTCCTACCCTTCCTTCAAGGACTTGCTCAAATGCCACTTCCTCTGAGAAAACCCACCTGGATGTGTGATCTCTCTCTCCTCGAGCCCCTCTGACACTTTGGATCTTTCTTGTGACATTTATACCATTCTGCCTAGCATCACAGTTATGTTTACACTTGCCTGAGCCATTCTTTCTCTTCCCTGGTTAGTTATTCTCTGAGGGTTGGGATTATGCCTCAACCATCTTCTAGTCCCAAGTACCCCCCACTGCACGCAAGGTTTCTGTCTCCCCAGAGTTCAGCTACACCCATGAGCCAAGCTAGAATAAATGACAGTATGTCATTGTTGGCTGATACTTGTGCCATCTCTCACTTTTGGGGTATTTACTGTGGGTTTTTTCCTGATGTTCGTAGAAATCATTACTAAATTACATATAATTGCTCTTTTCAAACAGGCCCCTACTCCAGAGACCAAATCAAGTCTAAAGGCCTCTGGTTATGCTCCCATGTTTACCATTAGGCAATGGTAGGAAATCAAAGTGCAGAAAGTCTACAGCTTCCCAAATTCAGTGACTCATCATATCACACCACACCACACCACACTACCCAGTGTGGTGAAGAGCTAGGCTCTCAGGCAGACTTCATAAACAGGACTTCCAGGACTCCATAAACATGGCTGCAAGGAAGAGAGACACCCCTCCCCTAGCACCTGGCCTGTTGCAGTCGGATGCATGGATAGATGGCAAAGGAATTCATTCACAAGTCCTATTCTGAGATCTATTATGGCTCCTCTACTTGCCTTTAATTTAAAAGTGAAAATATGAATTAAATTCGATAGATGATATCAAATTCCTGGAGCAATAGTTTTCAAAAAGAAACCCTTAGAGTCACCCAGAGCATAATGCACACAATTTTGGAACTGGGAACCGGAAATCGACACTCACTCCCCACGTGAACCTTCTTTACACTCAAGTTTGAAAAGTATGCTTTGGTGGCAAGAACTTCACAGAGTCACAGCACTTAGGAGGATACCTGCAAAAATAAAAAACGACATTGCCTCATCATTATTGCTAGTCATCTCAGCTAATAAAGAGAATGCTTTGCCATTAGTAAGAAGATTCCAATACATGAGAATTGGATTGGATCTAAAGAACCTCAAGTCATTAGAAGATGGAAACAAAGTTATGCCCGTTTCCATGTTCTTCCTCATACTGGGACATACTTTTAATATTATAACCAAAGCTAATTATGTTTTCTGAACTATAATTAATTGTTTAGAGAGTAGGAAAAGCCTAAAACAGCATAGCCTATTAGGAAGGAATTATTCTCACCACCAGTCGAACAACAGAGAATTCTACTCTGTGGCTAAAAAACAAGTGAAAATTATAGATGACACTTCATCAAGGTAAAATGTCCAATAACAGTAAAAAGTACCATGAGAATCTATGTGGTCAATCATTTCCACCAAATAGATTCTTGGGCAAAATAGGAAGTGGACAGTGAATGATCAACCTAGAATTGATTGATCTAAAACAATTGCTCCATCTTTGAAGAGGGGGAAATTTTTTATTCATTTCAACTTTAAGTTCTAGAGAGTCAAACCACTAACATTTTGCTATTGATACTTTTTAGAGAGGGGGGTACAGACAGTGTTAGATCCTTTACAAACAGTAACTCATTTGGTGTCCCAGTAACCCCCAACAAGAAACAAATGAAGAAACTGAGACTCAGAGAAGTTTGCCACGGGTTTTCCAGCTCTAATCTGGCCAAGCAGGGATTCAAG